ACTGTTTCCTATTAGCACTTCATTGTATTTAACAGGTTCATAATATTCCATTGTATGAATATACCATCATAATTTTAACCAGTTCCAATGCCAGGATGTTATCTAATCTGACTTTTTGTTTTACTTTTTGGTGTGTGTGTGTGTGTGTGTGTGTATAAGTATGTGTGGGAGAGGGTGTGTGTGTATGTGTATGAATATGTGTTTGGGAGCTCAGAGACTACAGTATTCAGCTCATTCATATTATTCTGTTGGACTGTGTAAGTCTCCTCTATTGCTCTTTTTTTCTTCCTTTTTCTTAATCCTTGATCACAAAATACATTTCCTCACTCCTTTCTCCACCACTGGCATCACTCCAATATGTGTGGTGTTTTTCCTTGGATGGTTTGTATTTTTGTAAGCTGTAGAATACTTAGAAATGATATTAATGGTATTGTATTACTGCTCTATCCCATACTTCATGATCACTGCTTCTGAATTGCTGCATGTTATGTTTTTTTTAACATTTCTATTATTTTTATCTAATAATATTTCCCAGAAATAGACACATATGATGCTTCCAGATTTCATGATCATAAATAATGCTGTAATAAACGCATTCCTACACACCCCTGTCTGGACCTATATATGAGTGTTTCTACATCCAAGTGTATGTAGCATTTTCTGGGACATATTCATGGTTTCTATAATTACAAGCTTTTCACACATCAGCTTTGCCAAGTTACACTCTTAAGAAAAACACATGGGGTTCCTATTGTGTCATATCCTTGTCAACAGTTGGGATCATATAAATATATCCAGTCCTTCATTAAAATTTACAGTTAGTAGGTCATGTTAAAGAACGCTCATGGGGCTGTGAAGCCAGGGGCTCTAACACTAACCAAAGACTGAAGTTCCCCACTGGATGCCACAGTCTCTCAACAGTGCTGTTATCCTAAGGAGACAGGAGACATAGCCACTCATAATTATGAGAACTGACTCATAATAATCCATGATTGGTAATGTGGAAGAATAAATAAGTGTCTGAAAGTTTAACCAAAAAAATACATTCAAGATCAACTCACTCTTTGAAAGATTCATAAAATCAATAAATCCCTAAGAAAAATGACCATGACAAAAAAAGAGAAACATAAACTCTCAACACAAAGAATAAAAAGAAGTGCCACTAGAGACCCTACAAACATCAAAGGGATCATAAGGGGACATTAGGACAGCTTTATGCCAATAAATACGGCAATTTAAATGAAATTAACTTATTGAAAATGTATAACTTATCAAAACTGACATAAGAAGAAATAGAAAATCTAAATATCTCCCATAGCTATTAAAGAAATTGAATTCATAATCAAATAAGTTTCCTAAAGGATAAAACTATATGCCCAGACAATTTTAATGATAAATTCTATAAGACATTAAAGAAAGAAAGAATACAAAACTAACCCAAATTCAGAAAACAGGAGGAACATTTCCTACCTTATATCATAAAGCCATTATTGCTCTCATATCAATAACTGACAAAGAGATGTTGCAAGAAAAGGAAATTACATATCGGTATTCCTTATGACATATAAGCAAAAATCCTTAACAAAATAGCAAATAGAATCCAGCTATATATAAAAAAGCATAATACACCCAGGTAGAGTTATTGCAGAAATGCAACTTATTTTAACATTCAAAAATCAACGTTATTCACAATATTAGTAGAATAAAGGAGAAGAATATATAATCATCTCAATAAATGGCAAAAAGAAAAGTATTTGACAGAACTCAACATTCAATATCCCATTCATGATAAAAGCTCCCAACAAACTAGGAAGAAAAAGGAATTTCTTCACTGTGATAAAGGGCATCTAGACCTACCGTTAACATCATACTTCATAGTGAAACATCAATACTTTTTTCCTTAAGACTGGGAACAAGGCAGGATAACCTCTCACCATGTCTATTAAACACTGTAAGTCTTAACCAGTTCACTAAGTCAAAAGACAAAAAAGGCATGATAATTATAAAGGAAAAAGTAAAAATTTTTTGTGGGGTGGGGGGAGACATCATGGTTATGTAGGTAGAAAATCCTATATACTTTATACACAAAAAAAGAGAAAAAGAAAGAAAAAAAGTAAGATGAATTCTGCCACACCACAGGATATAACAACAATATATACATACTAATTGTGTTTCTCATATTCACAGTGAACAACTGGAAGGTGAAATGAAATGAAAACTAATTTCATTTATGATAGTTCCGAAATATCATATACCTCTAAAAAATACTGGGCAAGATCTCTACTCTGAAAGTAGAAGACAAATTAAAGAGGACCAAAATAAACGGAAAGATATGCCACATTCGTGAACTGGTAGACTAAATATTGTTAAAATGTCAATTCTCCCCTAATTGACCTACATAGTCAACTGTAATCCCATCAAAACCAAATTTACAAGTGGAATCTAAAATTTATAAGGAAATGCAAAGAAAAAAGGAGACTGAAATCTCTTAAAGAAGAAGTTAGAGGACCTACCCTACCTGATTTTAAGATTTATTATAAGATTATAATAAAAAGGACAGTAGTGTGGTACTGACTTAAGGATAGACATATAGATCAATAGAACCCAATGGTCAATAGATACTTGACAAAAGTGCCAAGGTATCTAATGAGGAAAGGATAATTTGTTCCAATAAATGGTGCTGAGACAGCTGAATATCCACCTGGACAAAAGTGAACGTTGACCTCAGTCTCTCATCACAAACAAAATTTAACTCAAATTAGACTATAGACCTAAATGAAAAAGTAAAATAATAAAACTTCTGGAAGAAAGCACAAGAGAAAATCTTTGTTTTTGCATAGGCAAAGATTTCTCAGGACATAAAATATATGACCATAAAGGGAAAAAAAATCATAAAGGTCTTTATCAAAATTAAGAACGTTCTGCTCTCTGAAAGATCTCACTGAGAAAGTGAAAGCACAACCCACAAACTACAAGGAATTATTTCCAATATCTGACATAGTCCTTATATCCAGAAAATTTATATATATATATATATGCTTACAGTTATATATACTTACAATTCAATAAAAAGACAAAACCACCCAATTTTTAAAATGGATATAGATTTGAAAAAGAAAAAAGACCACTTATACCAATGGCCATTAAGTACAAGAAAAAAATTTCAACATCATTATTCATGAGGAGAATGAGAATTAAAACTGTAAGATCCCATTTTGCATCTACCAGAATGGTTAAAATCAGAAAGATTCACTACCAATTCTTGGCCAGGATGTGGGAGCAACTGGAACCCTCATACATTGGTCATGGGAGTAACTTCACAGAACCATCTGGACTCCTTATAAAGACTATATCTGTCCCATGATCCAGTAATTTTACTCCCTAGATATTTACCCAAAGAGAAATGAAAAGTCTAAGTCTACACAAAGACTTGTCTACAAGTGTTCATAGCAGTTTTATTCATAATAGCCAAAAACTGGAAACAATCCAAATCTTTGTATCAAAGAAAAACGGATAAAAAAATTTATGGTTTATTAGAATAGAATACTACTCAGTAATTCTGTTACGTCTTAGCTTAGAAGCCTTGTATTTCCATTCCAGTGGTCATGTGGACTACAGACTCTTTAAGACAGGGATCCTTCTGGTACCTTTCATACCTGATAGCATCTGGTTAATAAGCGTCTACCAAATATTTGTTGCTATAAAACTGACCTCAAGAGAAAATAGTTATATTATAATCACGAATATTATTGTTATCAAGGGAATATCTAATTTTATTTGCAGCAAATGTAAAGATTCAGTATCTACTAAGAGCTCTTAAGATGTTAACTACATACTGAATCAACTCCACAGACTGAAATCTGGAATCAGAATGCCTGGGAATGGGATTCTGCGTCTACAACATAGTAAATGGAAAGGCAGAGAAGTCTCCGAATCTCAGGTTCCTAATCTGTAAAATGAGCATAATGCATGGACCATCCCCATAGGGTTACTACTGTGAGGATTATGTAATTGTAAAGGTCTCAGAAATACTTGTTGCACATGATAAGCACTATATAAACATTAGCTATTATTACTACTTACAGTCTGGATTTCTATGCACAGATACAACACTGAAGATATTAGTCATTAGAGAATATTAAGGATACATTTTTTAAAAACTGGCACTATAAGGAAACACACATTGTTTATTTCACTTTGCCAATTTTAAAATATGGATATTCATACCAACTCAAACTTCAGGCAAAGGATAAAGGAATTGATACTGATATTTTAAACCATATTCTTAAAATATTTTAAGGGGAAATGTGTTCTTTATAAGACGTCTGAAAACCCATTTCTTCAACACAAATTTATTGAATGCCTATTCTAATGTGTTTATCTTAAAGCAAAATGTTACACTAATTAAAATTACCTATAGGTATGAGTATAAAATAATGAAGGTTCAGAAGACACTAGCTAAAACAATTAAACCAACTCTTTTTTGAAGGAGAACTGGTGGGGTCAGGTGGGGGCAATACCAGAGTTAAGAGAGTTAACTGCTCACCTCAAACTCTTTGGGAAGGTAGCCCCATTTTTCCCCCAGTGGTCCTGAGACACTCAAATGGGAGAGGAGTCTAATCCCTCAAGTGTCCTTCAGGAAAAAAAAATGCTCTAAACCACTGGCCTAAATTACAAACTAGATGACATCCCAAAGGACTCATCCTATACTCCCCACTTTCAGTTAATTATTTGGCTTTGAAGAACTACTACACAACTTTGCAGCCTGAGAGGAAGAAAGGAAAACCAAAATACCATGGTCCTGGGCGCCTGGATGGCTCAGTGGATTAAGAGCCTGCCTTTGGCTCAGGTCATGATCCCAGGGTCCTGGGATCGAGCCCCGCATAGGGCTCACTGCTCGGAGGGGAGTCTGCTTCTCCCTCTCCCTCTGCCCCTCCCCCTGCTCATGCTCTATCTCTCTCTCTCTCAAATAAATAAATAAAATCTTTAAAAAAAAATACCATGATCCTGATCTGGCGCCTCCAGGTTGTAGCCATACCCCAGCAACGTGCGCACGGCCTCACGGAGGCTGTCCTTATTGGATTTCTTGGTGCGGTCATCTAGAAGGGCGTAGGGAACCAGGCGAGGGTTTCTTCTGTTCTTTACATCCTACAGGAAGAGAAAAGGTGTTGGTCATTAAAGCAGTACTAAAGCAATTGTTTTGGAAGTATGACAGCCACCAAATAAAATAGAATGTGAAGCCCCTGAGGTAAAAGCTGCCCCTCCCCCACCACCTTAGTCTTCTCAGGTAACGGAAGTTACTGAACCCCTACCAATATAAAAGATGGAATCCAGTGAGTAAGTGTAGGCCCTCCCCAGGAGAAGAAAAAGTAAAAAACAACAATAACAAAAGCGAACTGGAAGGATCTCTCCATCATCTTCCATCTGCCAGGGTCACAGGGCAGTGGGTGAATTTAGAGAACACAGAATTTCCTTGCACAGTTGACAGATGAGTCTTTGTTACAAGAACAGCCAAATGATCACCGGTCACCTCTCACTGATTTTAGTCTACAAACAACACATGGCTGCTGTCCCTTTCTCGGAAAAACCCAGGGTATTATAGACAGCCATTCTATGAACTCAAATAGCCTGAACAATATGCATTAGGGTGACTCCATCAACCTGTGAAGCCAGTTAATAGCCAAAGTACTGAAATATCTACAAAACTCACAATTTGTCTATAACAAAAGAGGCTCCAGGTTTAAAATGTGATGAAACTGGTGTTGGCAAAGCAAGAAAGCTGGCTATCCTACTATCCTGGCAAAAAAAATCATTTCCTTCCATCCACTCCCTGAGGCTCTCCTACAGATTTTGTCAGACTTTCCAGATTTCTGGAAGCATTCTCAATTCTCAGGTTAACCTGAGCATGACTAAGAATGAGGAGGCTGTGGATCTTCCCAAACCTTCTCAAAACAAATATGCTACATGGTGGATGGGGTTTGTCTTGGTTGGGTAGGAGCAAAGAAAGCTTTTCCTACTGTCTTCTCCCCTGGTCTCTAGCAAATTTGTACTAAATATCTGCTCCTGAATACATGAACATGAACTGACACAGTGGGGGATCAAGATCACCTAGTTTGTTTGGCGGGGAGCACCACTCCAAAGCCACCCCAAATAAACCAACAGTGTAAACATCACCCCACACTCTTCTCCTTCAACTTGGTTTTAGCCCCCAAACTTTTCCTCTATAGAAAGTCTGAAGCCTTGAATGAATCATCCTCTCTAGAGACGGTGTCCTGGGACTCTGTTAAAAGGAGCTTCCCAGGGGATTTGATGCACACTCATGGTTTGAAAGCAGCTGTGCTAGAGAGACAGAGAAGAGGGTAATTCAAGGAAACTGCTCTCAAGGACTTTCAATGAAGTTCTAAACTAGATTATGTTAAGGTGATGGAAGGTAACGCAAAATTCAAGACAACATTCATTCAAATAATCCGGCAAACATGGGCTATGTCAGTGGGGAATGTGGTGGAGGGATGGGGTGCGACCTGGGGGAGGGAATGGGGAAATGATTCTGGCAGGTTCAAAGAGAGCCTTGTGTTTTTATGAGGAACCACATGCACAGGAAGGAGCACCCCCACCCCCAGAAGAGAGGGACCTTAGGGAAATCCTGGTGTCTGACAGAGCTACGTGGTCTTCAAGGCAAGTAAGCCCTCCTTTTGCAGACAGCCAGTGTGGACCCCTGGTCCATCTGGAGTATAAGGTTCAGGTTCTCTCTCTCTCTCTCTCTTCTTCAAGGCAAGTAAGCCCTCCTTTTGCAGACAGCCAGTGTGGACCCCTGGTCCATCTGGAGTATAAGGTTCAGGTTCTCTCTCTCTCTCTCTCTCTCTCACACACACACACACACACACACACAATGCTGGAGCAGATGTAGTGTTGACATTCTCATCAGTTACAACCAGCTTAATTCAATATAAAAATATATTTTATGAGGTACATCAAGGCTCTTCAATTTTTCTTTAGCCTTCCCAATAGCAAGAAGTCACTGGCTTAGAAGGATTTTTGAAATTCAGTTTTTCAAACCAATATTTAGGCTGTTTCCTGGACCACAGTCTAAGCCTGTAAGTAAGAATCCATTTTAGTCCTGAAGAATTTTAAGTAAAGGAAGCCTAAACTGAGCTGGCAAGAGGCACTGCAACAAGGAAGTGAAGAATTTTGGCTCTGGAGTCAGAAAGCTTGATCCCAAGCAGGTCTGCCACCTGCTAACTGGGTAGCACTGGGCAAACTGCTCCCAAGAAGGCTCCCCGTGCACCATATGTAAACTGGGAATAAAAATGATCCCTCCCTCACAGAACTGTAGTCAGAGTTAAAGAGAATATGTGTAAAACTCTAGACATGGGGACTGCCACCTAATTGAATAGCAAACTGCCGTACGTATTTGGTCAGGCCCCAGCACTGCTATGAGCCTTTCTCATACGTAAGTTATAAAATGACATTAAATCACTTACTGATGAGGAAGACAGTGGCGCAGAGAATTTAAGTAGCCTGCCCAAGGTCACACAATGACTCAGAGGTGAGGCTCAAATTTGCTCTTCGGCCGCTCTGCTATGCTGCCTCGGGATATACTCAATGACTGTTAGTCACTCCCGCTAGCACCACCATTAATAGAGAGAGATCCATGCCTCTAACATCCAGAAACCTCAGAAAACTCTATCCTTTACTAAGTTTAACAAAAACTCAGTTAGTGGTAAAATATGACCTGAATTGATGCAAGCCTGTTTATAGGCTTTATTTATCCCTCTTCGTATTATCATGCCTACACTGTGCTGAACAAATAATAATTTATATTCTGCTGTCCCGCTGAGGGTGGTAAGAAATATGTAATATATCACCATATTGCCATTCTGGAAACCGAAAGATATCTGGATTCTGACATTCATCTGGCCCCGGGGTTTTCGAATGAGGAACTGTGGACCTCTTTTATTATTTTATCTCAACTGTCTCATATTTCAAAAGTTTCTCCTTAAATACAATCTCAGAGAGAAATGCCATGAAACCATGTTATAAATGACTGTTCTGGTTAAAATTCACTGTGTACCTCATGTGAACACTCGGGGTTTGGTCATCTGACTTCTTGGTCCAGCACTGAACAGGTATGTCAGTGCATATGTACATGAAGATATGTATCTGAGTTTCAAAAGAGTCATTATTTAATCTCTCCTGTTAGGAATTATGCTGATCACCACTTAAGCAAATCTCAGCTTCCATGCTATCAAGCTAAATTCCCTTGTACCTGTTGGATGCCGTAAGTCCAGCCCTGCCGGATTCGATCCCGGGCCCACACATTATGAGCATTTTCTGCCAATTTGTCCACCATCGCTTCCTGAGATGGGGTGAGTTTGATGAAGCTCAGGTCCATTGGGGCAGGCTTATACCCACTTGTCAGCTGGTAACTACAAAGCAAAACAAAAGAAATATATATTTGGCCTTTCCGAAAAAGTCAAGGCTTAAAAATTCCTGTAACGGTCTTTTCATGACCCCACCTACCTCTAATGGTTCATTTAACCACGTGGTTACCACTGAAGAGCAAGCCTGGAACCCTTCACTTAAGCTAATAACTCATTAGGTAGAAAGGCCACACAATCGTGGTCTCCATTTTTATACCAATAAAAGTGAAATGAGACAACTTACCAATCTCTCAAAGTTGAGAAGGATTTATTGAGTTCCTAACTGATGAGGCTTTTCTATAGTACAAACCAAAATATTGGTTACCAGTGAAAACATCTGATGGATTTCTCTTCTTATTCTCGTTTTCGTCAACTTTTAAATATTATATTAATTTGTATATTTACATATTTAATATATCTGTGGATCTTTACAGATACTAGCTGTTTATTATACTATAGGTAAATTTTAATGCATTTATAAATTATTTTCCTATTTGCTTTTCCTAGCCATAGAATTTAGGAAGCCTCTGGATAAGACAGAGAGTAGAAAATCCCAGATATTTAATCATCTAAAAAATTATTAAGGCCTGGATTTTAAGGAACTCTTACCAGAGACTACCTCCATACTCTGAAATGGAGAGAAAGTACTAAAACAAGAATAGGTTTTCGTCTTTTGGAAGAAATAGAAAATAGAAAATAGAAAATTTTCAGCATGTACATTTTGGGGCATGGTACATAATACTGCCCTGCTCCCCAAAGACACACACGCAGTCACCTCATTCTATTTAACTACTGAGATTCCAACAAAACCTATTTTATAGCTGCTCCTCTTCCATTCTTCTGTCATTGTTATATTCCCTATTATCAACTAAGCCTTGAGGTCAGGATTTGTTTCTAATCCATTTTTCTAACTGCCATTATACTTGAAATAGTGCATGGCAGATAATCAGCCTTTTGATCTATAGTTTTTGAAAGAATTAGTGGGGAGAGGAAAGATGGAAGAGTAGGGAACCTTGTTTCATCGGGTGCCTTGTATTTAGCTAGGTAACTATCACATCATTCTGAAAACCTATGAATTCAACCTAAGATATAAGAAAAGAATTGCTGGAATTCTACAAATAGAAAAGTGACCACTTTTGGCAAGGTAGGAGGTGCAAAGTGAATTGGAGGGGATATATTGGAAGATAAACAGCATGGGGAGGGAGCCTCTATAAGCCAACTACCGGAAAGTGATACAGCCCCAGAGGACAAAATCAGTATTTTAAAAATCTGCTCCAGTGAGAAACATCCCTGCCTTAAAGGTGCTCAGATGGCAAAGCAGGGCAAAATCCTAGGTGGGACTGTGTGGTCTCAGGGTCCCTAGGGTCATGGAAAGAATGGGGATTTCGGAGCGGGCAGAGTTCCCAAGCACTGGAGCAGGGAAACTGGCTATGGTCAGAGAGCCCAGGAGTGGGCTCTCAGCTCAGTCTGCCATAAACCGTGAATGGCAGTACAATAGGGGACCACTCTCCGTGTGGAGGTCCTGCAAGTGGCAGGCCTGTGAGAACCCTCTTCTCTCCCCCGAGAGGATAAGCACGGTGTGCTTCAAAGGAGTCTGCAGAGTTCGGTGCACACAAAAGTGAAGATTGCTTTTCCCTAAAGGTTTACTTAAGTTAGGGGGCCAAGATCTTTCAGCTCAGGCTGGAGATTGGGATGCGGCCATTTTTATTTTCATCCTCTAATGGGGTGCGGAAAAACTTCAGGGAACAAGAGCCACACAAAGCAACCCAAAGCAGCTTACACTGAGACCAGCCCCCCGGCAAGGGGCAGTGCAACTCCGCCCAGGCAGACACCTGAGGAAGAGCTCAACAGGCACCTCCCCCAGAAAACCAGCTGTAAAATCAGTTGAATACCAAGTTTACCAAGCACACAGAATTGCAAAACTCCAGTGCTAGGGGAAAATAGTATATAGTATTCGAGGTTTTTTTCCCCACGATTCTTTTATCCTTTCAGTTTATAATTTCCCTTTTCTTTTTTTTTTTCCTTTTCAACTCGTTTCTTATTTTAGCAACTCTTTGTTTTTAAGTTTTCTTTTTTAACTTCCATTTTTACATTTACATTTTATAGCTATATTCTTCATTTTTGGCTTCCTTTCAATGTATTCAATTTTATTTTGTGTGTATATATATATATATATAAAGTTTTGCTTTCTTTGCAATTTTGGGATTTAGGGTCTTCTAACAAACAGAGCAAAATACACCCACGACCAAGTAGATCACCCTGTTTTGTCCATCTGGGAGATTATAATCTTTTTCCTTTTCTTTTCATTTTTGGTTTCAGACTGCTTCAGATTTGTCTAGTGGGTATTTCGCTGGGGTCATGGTTGATATTTTTTATTTTGTTCCCTCGTTCATCCATTCTTCTCTGGGCAAAATGACTAGAAAGAAGAATTCACAACAAAAGAAAGAACCAGAAGTAATACTCTCTGCCACAGACCTAATCAATACGGAAATAAGTAAAAAGCTGGAATTCAGGATAACGATTATAAAGTTACTAGTTGGGCTTGAAAAAAGCGTAAAAGACACTCGAGAACCTCTTAGTGCAGACATAAAATCTAATCAGGTTGAAATTTAAAATGCTTTAACTGAGATGCATTCTAAATTGGATGCTCTAACAGCTAGGGTAAATGAGGCAGAAGAGAGAGTCAGTGACATAGAAGACAAGATGATGTAAAGGAAGGAATCTGAGGAAAAGAAAGAAAAACAACTAACGGACCATGAAGAGAGGCTTTGAGAAATTAACGATATCATAAAGTGAAACAATATTAGAATTATTGGGGTCTCAGAGAAAGAAGAAAGAGAGAGAGGGACAGAAGGTATATTTGAGCAAATCACAGCTGAGAACTTCCCTAATCTGGGGAAGGAAACAGACATTCAAGTCCAAGAGGTAGAGAGAGTGCCCCACAAAATCAATAAAAATAGATTAAAACCCCAACATATAACAGTGAAGCAATGCAAATTTCAGAGATAAAGAGAAAATCCTGAAAGCAGCTTGAGGCAAGAGCTCCTTAACCTACAATGGTAGAAACATTAGACTGGCATCAGACCTAGCCACAGAGACCTGGCTGGTCAGAAAGGGCTGGTGGCATGATATATTCATGATACTAAATGAGAAAAACATGCAGCCAAGAATGGTTTTTCCAGCTAAGGTGTCATTCAGAATGGAAGGAAAGATAGAGAGCTTCCAGGACAAACAGAAACTAAAAGAAATTGTGATTACTAAACCAGCCCTGTGAGAAATATTAAAGGGGATCCTGTAAGTGAAGAGAGCCCAAAAGTAACATAGACCCGAAAGAAACAGAGACAATCTACAGAAACAGAGACTTTACAGGTAATAAAATGGCACTATATTCATATCCTTCAATAGTTACTCTGAATGTAAATGGGCTAAATGCTACAATCAAAAGACACAGGGTATCAGACTGGATAAAAAGCAAGACCAATCCATATGCTGCCTACAAGAGATGGATTTTAGACCCAAAGACACCTCCAGATTGAAAGTGAGGGGGAGCTGAACAATTTATCATGCCAATGGACATCAAAAGAAAGCTGGGATAGCAATCCACATATCAGACAAATTAGATTTTAAACCAAAGACCATGGTAAGGGATGAAGAGGGACACTATATCATACTTAAAGGATTTATCCAACAGAAGATCTAACAATTATAAGTATTTATGCTCCTAATTTGGGAGCAGCCAATTATATAAACCAATTAATAACCAAATTAAGGAAACACATTGATAATAATACAATTAATAGTAGGGGATTTCACCCTACTCACAGCAATGGGCAGCTCATCTAAGCATAATATCAACAAGGAAATAAGGACTTTGAATGACACACTGGACCAGATGGACTTCACAGATATATACAGAGCATTCCATCCTAATGCAACAGAATACACATTCTTCTCAAGTGCACATGGAACACTCTCCAGAACAGATCACATACTGGGTCATAAATCAGGCCTCAGCCAGTACCAGAGGACTGGGATTATTCCATTCATATTTTCAAACCACAATGCACTGAAACTTGAACTCAGTCACAAGAGGAAATTTGAAAAGAACTCAAACACTTGGAGGTTAAAGAGCATCCTACTAAAGAATGAATGGGTCAACCAGGAAATGAAAGAATTAAAAAAAAATTCATAGAAACAAATGAAAATGAAAACACAACTGTTCAAAACCTTTGGGATGCAGCAAAGGCAGTACTTTTAAAAGGGAAGTATATAGCATACAAGCCTCTCTCAAGAAACAAGAAAGGTCTCAAATACACAACCTAAACTTACACCTAAAGGAGCTGGAGAAAGAACAGCATATAAAGCCTAAACCCAGCAGAAGTGAATCCATAAAGATTAGAGCAGAAATCATTGAAATAGAAACCAAAAGAACAGTAGAACAGATCAATGAAACTAGGAGCTGGTTCTCCAAAAGAATTAACGATCAATAAACTCCAAGCTGGACTTATCAAAAAGAAGAGAAAGGAGGGCGCCTGGGTGGCTCAGTTGGTTAAGCGACTGCCTTCGGCTCAGGTCATGATCCTGGAGTCCCTGGATCGAGTCCCGCATCGGGCTCCCTGCGCGGCGGGGAGCCTGCTTCTGCCTCTGACCCTCCCCCCTCTCATGTGCTCTCTCTCTCTCATTCTCTCTGTCTCAAATAAATGAATAAAATCTTAAAAAAAAAAAAAAAAGAAGAGAAAGGACACAAATAAATAAAATCATGAATGCAAGAGGAGAGATCACAACCAACACTGAAGACATACCAACAATCATAAGAATATATTATGAGCAACTATATGCCAAAAATTAGGCAATCTGGAAGAAACAGATGCATAAATGTATAAATACCAAAGAGATGTATAAATACCAAAACTGAAACAGGAAGAAATAGAAAATCTGAACAGACCCATAACCAGCAAGGAAATTGAATCAGTAATCAAAATTCTCCCAACAAACAGGAGTCCAGG